AAGTCGTGTTTGGCGATATGGTTGATAAGCTATCAAGGTTGTGTTAACGGAGTCTTAATCGAGAGTTGTTTAGGGCAGTTCTCACACGGTGACACACCGTCGACAGTGATATCACATTGGCTCGTAGAATGTGCCAGACAACCACACTAATTATCTGTTCTCAAGCTAGGAAATTCCCTATTCCCAACGGAATTCACTCTGGGGCTCTTCATCATCACCTACACCAGAACCAATTCAGAAAAGTTCATTTCCCAGTTTGGTCCTATCGGGAATCGAACCCGACACCTTCTCATCCAACGCCCACAGCACAAGCCGTTCGACCATCGAGGTCATCTACGTCGTATGGCGCACTCCATACCAACCAACGCCACAAACTTCTCCACAAAAGATAGTGCTCATGAGGGAAGGTGATTAAATGCTAGATGTACACAATGCTCATGACGTTCTCTCCAATGTAAGGCGAAGTATGATCGGTATTTCCCATTATTATAACTGTTCGCACCCTCTAAAGAGTAATAAATAAAATGTAATCAACTTCGCGCGTGCCGGATGCCGGTAACGTTGAAAGAACCTTGAAAGAAACTTTATAAATAGACCTCGGCCGTAGATGCGATTCAGAGCTATTAATTAAAATACCGTGGAATCATCATCCGGGAGTTTTATATTAATTTAGCCGACGTGTGGCGTTTATGGTAGTGACTTTTTTGTTTGTCGTCTAGCAGTGGATTATATATTGTGTTTGAAAAGAGATTCTTCAAAATAGATCGCAGAACATACATACATCTTAGTAGATAAAGTACAGTTTATTACAGTTTCATGGGTTGCAATAAAGCAAGGGTTGAATTAACTCAATGGTTTTTCCGATTGCTTATCGTCAGCCATGAATGGAATCGCCAACGTCGGCATGTGAACGCACAACGTACGGTATAAAAACGTATTACAACAGACTATTTAATAGAAGCATTGTTGAAGGCAGACGCCATCGCCCATTTCATTTATATTCAGAGCAGATAGGTGGTGTTTAATTGCAGCACGCCATTGTCTTTGTTGCTTTTATTTACATTATGTTCTGCGCAGTAAAATACACAATGCGTAATTTTAGTACCAGGTTAATTGGACCGCAAAAAATAATGCACACACTCATAGCCTAGCACTAGGGAAAACGTATCATAAAAAAAAATTATCATAGACAACCACAAATTACACCAAAATTCACGAGAGCAATATAAAATATGTGGGTCATACAGATATTTCTCCCGACCCGGGAAACGTGGCCTGCCCCCGATTGTCAATTTTCTATCGGATCTTTTCGTAGAGTGTGCGGTGGAACTTTATAACTTAGTTCCACACTCATCGTTTTCCCTTCACTCGACTTTCTAGAAACCCCGGATCACTCAATCTTTATGTCATTAACTTACCACCCATGCGCACGAAGCTCCTTGCTTTATCCTTCCCGATGTCATCCCGTACCAAGTAACAGCGCGGCTTCTATGCATGTGCCGCGCGATGTGTACGGACACACACATTCGCATAATAATTAAAGGCGCGCTGGGACGATCAGTGTTATGCAACGCGAGTGCCTTGCGAGATTATGCGAATGTGTGCCGTATACGCGCATGTACGTTTGTATGGAGTTACCATAGTTGTCTTATTATAGTATGCCGATCCGTTCGGCAAAGGTATGGAATATACTGCTGACGTCTGAATCCTGAAAGCTGTCATTTCAGAATAGAGTGAACAGGCATTACTAGACAAACGCGTGACATCAGATGAGTCTATGGCCAAGTTTTCGTCTTCTTTCAATATTTAAAAATAAGGACTATATCACTTTTATTACAAAACGTTGCAACGCATTATAATTATTTGTCTTCGTTTGTTGCTGAAACGACTTGAAAGTTGACACCTATTTATGGTGGATGTGAAACAAAATAATAAAGAACATAATACATTTATTGTGCTCCACTGCACCACAGTTTCACCTGTAAATCGTCTCGAAACAATAGCTTGGTACGCGCATGGAAGGAACGGTTCCAAAGCGCGTACCGTAAAGGCAATGGATTTAGCTCGTTCGCCGAGACATTGACTGACTGACGAGCCATTGTCTGCGGTGGGAAATGCGCAAAAATCCCTTTGGGAAAATGTGATCGCGAACGAGGGATAGTCGTACTTTTAACGGGATTCGTTGAGATGACGATGATAATGACCTTTCGAGTGTTCGGTCGCCAATTTAGCTCAGTGAAGGGTGTTGGTTCCTTTGTTTCGTTGTGTTTGTAGTAAAAGTGCAGCTCCTAGTGAAACAGTTCGTCCAGGTTGCGGTTTAAAAGAGCTGGTGAAACTACAGACACATGGGATTGTCAACTTTAGGTACCTCTCAGGGCGGGCAGCGGCAGCAGTCTGCCTTGCAGATATTTGCGATTTAAAACTCTCATTGGCAATTGATATAGGTAGACGTATCGTTTATCACCAGACTCACGACTCGTCCCGTAACTAGATATCATAAAAATAAAGAGTCTTACACTATTTATCGCGATCTTGTACAATTCAGTAAAAATAATTATTTTTTGTACTCCATAGCTAATCCCTATCGTATTTATTCGGCAGCTCCATTATTTTGACATTTAGGTATATTTAACTATTCATAGTTGTACAAATCATCATCACCGCGTTTAAATTATGTACTGATTTACATGATCTATGTTCTCGCACCCACGTTATATTCAACAACAAATAACAAAAAGTCCAAAAAAACTTCTTGTCTTCTGATTATTATTTTTTGTACCTTTACATGTTAGTAAATGGATAATTTATTTGTCTTATGCTTGGCCGGTCGCAGTGAAACTATACTTATTTTATTAACCGACTTCAAAAAAAGAGTTTTCAATTCGTCTGTATTTTTTTCGAGAGGGTGCCTCAGTACAGCTCCCATTTAAATTTGAAGAAAATATTCCTCCCCAGGGTAGCAAATTAGGGAATAAATCAGGCTTATTAGATTTCAACCACATTTCGTTAACCGTTTTCTATAATTTATTTGCGCTCGCTTTCGTGCATACCAACATATACTTTGTCGGGATACAACGTGCCATCTACCAAGCACAGTGCTAAGTGACATTGAGGGTGATGTCAAGAAATGCACAAATCTTTTAAACAGACACTGTCTTGGTTTGTAGTATCTATAGCACTTATTTAAATGTAGACATATACTCTAGAACTAATTAATATTATAGTGAATTGTAAGCTAATTTAAGTGTCGAGCTTGTAAGTGCGCTCATCGCTAGGTGGTTAAACCACTAAGTTTTTACCTAGCGATAAAGAATAGTCGATTTTTGTAAATAAAAAAAAATACTTGACAGACACATGTAATTCCACAAACTTTTGAAGTTGGTTTATTTCTTTCATGAAAAAGTTATAGTTATTATTGTCTACTTTTAAACCTGTGTTACAGCAAATAAATGAGTTGTAATTATGAACACATAATTCACTACTTGTTTGGCTTAACTAATAGTTATGATTAGTTTCGAGCAAGTAAAACAACGATTTTTCAGGTATAAACCGGTATTGGGAAGTTGCCAATAGGTGGTTGTCACAAGTTCATATAGTGGTTGGCTGGCGACGCGCGGCTAATGGCCTTGCGCCTTAATATTTGCATCGGAATCGTATTGTGCGGGTCGTTGACTCGCCTGATCGCTAATTCACCCATCGCTATTAGACACAGATTCAATAAGTTAGCAGTAGTTCATGTTTGCTCGGACCTTTGTTACAGAGCATTTAATATACATTTAACGTTACTAGGAAGCCTGCATCTCAGAGATGTCATAAAAAATATCTGACGCACAAGTTTTCACTAGGGACATAACCCACGCATTTTGTCGCAAAAACCATATTCAACATTGCGACGTAATGTTGCCGCTACACATGAGGCTCATACGGCACAGTTGTAGATAGTAGGTTATGCATGTGCATAATCTTTCTACTTAAGTCCCTAGATGCTTTCTCGGAACCACATCTTAATCAAGATCAACTACATCGATAGAATGATAACTCGCTGCTTTCTCAACAACTAACTTTATGGCCATATCATAATAGTTTATTATGGCTTGTGGCCGTATACGCCCACCGCTTTCCCTACATGTCGAATTGCTGTGACACACCGGTCGACATGACAACATACCATAGCCGAATTATGTTTGTGCACCGCGCTTGTGGCGAATGTTACATATAGTGTTTTTAAAATAAAAATGTACATAGGCACTATTGTCGACTACGGTAGCCAAACGGTCGGTGCTGTGGACGGTAGACGAGGAGGTTCCCGGTGCGATTCCGGGTAAAACCAATTTGGAAAACGAACTTTTTTAATTCTAGTCTGCGTGTTCTGGGTGCACTGAAGTTAATTTCCTTGCTCCGGCACTCATAGCACTTGGAATTTCTTAGTTTAGGTCTAGGTCATAATCGTCGTTGTCTTGTTCATTAGGTCGGCTTTTTCTCTACTAGACGTCGTTTTTGGTGTTGTTTGACCTTTAGTAGGAGCTGAACAAAATTTCGATTGCTTAACTTGTCTTCCATTACAGATTACAGTCAGTCTTACGACACGTCTGTAGATGACTTCAAATCGTTATCGTGCACTCGGCCTCCGACAACTCGCTAGAAACGACTGATAAGGCATTCTTTAGTGAATCATTGACGTCGACAAACGTAATTAACGTTTTTTGTTATGTGTTGAGGTTATTTGAAGATTTTACTCCTTTGTGTGGTGGTGGGTATATCTGCATAAGGAGGGCGATTGTTTGGTATCGATAGGTTCTGTTTCTTTCTTGACGTTTCTTAACGATTGTCATGTCAATAGAGTCCCTAAAGTCTACGATAAATCTTCTAGTAACTGCTTATTTGAATACGAATTACACATTAACAGAAAAACTTTACGTTGTCTTTGCTCCACTTAGCTGTTCTAAAAAAACCATGTAAGATTATTACTAGAATATGCAAATATATTGTTTGTGTTGCAGTGTTCGCGGCTCTTGCCGAAGAAGCGGACGTGCACAATGTCGAAGAGACCGGCGGCAGCGCCAACGCTGCACAAGGTGATCATGGTGGGCTCAGGCGGTGTGGGCAAATCGGCGCTCACGCTGCAGTTTATGTACGATGAGTTCGTCGAAGATTACGAACCTACTAAAGCGGACAGCTATAGAAAAAAGGTACGTTGACATTGTTTATCGCGTTTTAAAATCTTGCCTCCCAGCATATCAACTATCAGCACATATATTTATTCGAAATAATTCGTTTACCATTTCGTGTATTCCCATAGTGTGTTGTAAGACACTTGGCCACGAGTGGCTTGTCAACGTCGCCCTATCAAACTCTTGCGATCAACGCTTACATTATATTATCAGTGAGACAAGTCGGCATCAAGCGTACAGCATTGCAACATCGGTACGTGGTACTTTCCTTAATTCAACAAAACGCAAACCTTCATCTAAAGAATTAAAGAAACAGAAAGCTCATTCACGAATCTTCTCGTTCAACTTTTTTGCATACAATTTCAATTTGATTTTGTAATCATGTACAGCTACTACTCAATGAGCAGTCATTAGCTAGCTTCTTGCCACGTCGTCGACCTGGTCAATTCCCTAGCGCTGGACAAGAAGCTGGGAAAGTGTGTTCGAAACTGTCGTATAATTAACATTCACCGTTGCTGAGGTCACACGTAAACCTGGTTTGGATCTACAGCTTTCTAAAACGACCTATGGGGTGGTCGTTTGGGCCTGTTTTTCAGATTTTGATAATTCGCATCGATTAATTGGTAGATTAGCGAATTAAGTCCTTGTTATGCGTTTCAGATACGGATCTTTTTCACATGTTTGACAATAACAGTCAAAGTTTAATTTTCAAAGTATACGTCGGAAGCGAACACGCTGCGCTGGTGTCAAAAGTATCATACATAACAAAGACACAGTGTTAATTGTAAGTGATGTGAAATTGTCCATTATTGTACACTGTGTACAATGATAACGCAGAGGAGTAATGTTTGTATATTAAAATAAGCTAATGTACAACAGTCCAGGCTACCTTAAGATAGAAAATTAGGAGAGACTGAAAGAGGTGCAACTAAAAATATAGGGAGGTAAACGGTATATTTTGGAACCGTTTTATGTAGTCAGATGTAAAATACTATAAGCCGGACCATTGAAGACCTTACTGAAATTAAGAAGTGTTAGAATAGCCAATGCTCGTTATTTTACGCCCATACCGAATTTGTTAGTCGCTTTCGTGAACAAGCCTGTCTGGGACTTTGAACAGGAAAAAATAATTGAAATGAAATGGTAATTTAACGGGTTTGAATTTTTCCGGTAATACCTTTCTAAGTTAGGGGAATACATAATAGAAGCTGATGTATTTTGGTAACAACAGAAGTGAGGAGATCGAGTACAGTAACGATCATATTACGATTAATGCAAGAGGTACCACCGATATTGGAGGCAAAAGCTAAAATGTTTTTCTTAACATCACAGTCAGTAAATTGATTAATAACAAAGGAAGAATAGCTAGTGGAGTTGGCAGTAAAGAAAGATTTTGTAAACTGTTGTCTTTGATGAAACAGTCTACTACATAATTGTAAGTCAATGACTACATGCAAGTTATTTTCACTAATATCAGGTTTCTTACCACGGTATGACTTCTTTTTATTTTCCCGATATTTCGGAACGGTTGCACACTCCATGGTCCAGTCAACCCGTGACAATCATGATGATATTAGTGATAATCATTTAGTGAATAACCACGAAAGTCTTAAAATCTATATACATGCAAGTTTTAGGTGATGAGCTGATTTCGGTAGGTGACTTTAGGAAATTTGTAGTGCTACTATATTCGACTGATCTGTGGATATGGCATTGTCGTGCATCCCTAGTCATTATTATGCAGCGATTTCAATCATGTTTGAATGATGCTGAGTATCTGGCTTTAGCACGATTATTCCTCGTCGTGTAGCTGCGAATATTATTCAGCATGGTCCAGCAAGATGCTTGATAGGAATAATGTGTTAAGTGAGTAAGAAGCGACAATGAATTATACAAAGTGCGCATACTCTGAACCAACGTTGTCCTATCTAGTAGGTCCACGGCTCCAAAAGTACGTCGTAGAAAAGTTTTAATCTTTGTCTAAGTACAAACACCTTGTACGATAAGCGTACGAGGTCATGGGTCGACAATGAGTCAGCAGTTAGTTTATTTACTTTAAATAAAGGTTTTAATGAAGGAAAGCTGCGCGGTTGCTACTCCAATGGTGTGGTTCGTAGGGGAAAAGTTTTAAGGAGTGTTTCAGCGGAAAGTGTAGTCAATAGATGGACTATAGTAAATTCCTAGAAGATTTTATTCTCTCTCGTTAGAGAGAACAATTCCCAGAAATAGATGTTCTAAATGGGAAAAGGAATGTGGTTACTTCACCATATTGAAAAAGTTACACAGTAATTGCGTAGCAGTTGAAAACTTGGAAGAGAGAAGAAATGGAAAGTAGATGAGCATTTCAATGCTTTGCGCGTTGATGTGCACCACATTATAATTTCTGAAAACGACTGAAAAAGTTTTATTTAGTAGACCATTAAATACAGGCAAACTGAATTCTATTATTGTCTCAAGACTCAGAAGGGCGAGTTCAAAAAGTTAGTGATTACAAATTGATAGATCTATTGTCAGTTTGTAGCTAGTAATAAAATAAGATACAGAAAAAAGTTAACAAACATAAGTGAAAAGTTTGATAACTAATAATAACATAAAAGTAACATAATTGTAACGTCCTCTACCCGCCAGAAATAAATATATAAATTACAATCCAGCAGATATACTATCATGAAACAGAACGCAATAAAAGAAAAACTTGCAATATAACTCTCTGAATATGGGAAAGTTAGGATAAAGTAAGTGAGGGCAATACATTAAAAAACAAAATTCATCCGCCCCATCATGAAATCCGAATAGAGACGATACAAGTAGGTTAGCACTACTTATCAAAGTAAAAAATAACACTGACTGGACCTTGACACTACGTTTTCCTTTTTCATTAGTCTTGATTTGTATGAATCTGGCTGTGATATTTCAAAAGAGATAACCGATTGTGCATGCCAACCGACGACGCCCGTTGTTTGTTGTTACTTTTAAAGAGATGTTCATGCCGTGAAATGGTCACGATTCCACGCTTTTATTGCTCTCTATTTGGATAATTATATTCTTAGACAATAGAATTCCTATTATACTGGACTTCTATACTTCCGATTTCTCCATGATATTCTATTTTATGTTGTCCCGTTGTCTATCATTAAAAAAATAATGAGTTAATAGAACTGGTTGTTGTTTGCACTCTCAATTAGATTATTTTTAACCGTGAAATTTGGTGATATTTTGTAAAAGTTGCAGTTAACACCAAATTATCGCATCAATTCATGAGTTAAACGAATCAACAGTCATTTGCTACCGTGTCGAGCAAGTACAAAAGTCCTTTACTGAAACTGGGCTGTAGCAGAAACTCGACCCTTAAGGTAATCAGCGTAAAAAGATAATAGGCTTGGAGTGAAATCCAAGGTCGCAAATTTCTTGAGCAATTCTTCATTATCTACGAGGTCAAAAGCCTTTTCGAAATCAAAAAGTTCCATTTGTCTCATCAGCACGTAATCGAGAAAACAAATGTAGTTAGTCACTGTGCAACGTGTGTCACTGGAACCAAATTGCGTTTCGTCTGATTATTAATTTGTTTTATGAGACAGCAGCTTGTTGTTTTTAAAATGTTTATTACAAAGCTGAGGACTGATTACTTCTGCAGTTCCGCGTCAGTTTTCAGGGTATCTTTCTTTACTTCACCTCTACTCAATCTGTTGACTTTTCATTAAACTTAATTATGTCTATGTTTGTAGTCGCTTTTGTAAAAGAGTCGACTCTTGATGTTGTGTAACTTGGTTGCCGAATCCGATAAGTTGCTGAAGCAGATTTGTTTACGCCTGTTGATTTTGATTTTGGGTCTTAATGCCGTCGCATTAAGTCGCTGGACTATTTCAGTGCTGGGGTCCAGAGTTCTCCAGTTTCAGGGTTAAATATGGTGCAAGTTTCTTTTAACTATAGATACGATCATATTGATTGTAGGATTTTAAAGCTAAAGCTTATCCTACCTTTCCCTCGAAATCGGTTTGACGCATCCTGCTCTGAGAGCACAAGTTCGTATAATTTATTTAATAACATTTATAACGTGTATTGCAGTGCATCTGTACATATAGCACAGCGTTATCTCAATGAAATTTTCACATTCACTAAGAATCTAATCTCTAGAATATGAGTCTTGTTTACTTGTGCATAAACGTTACTGTGTTCTTCTTTTGAATATAAATCGATCGTTTGACACTTTCACTAGACTAGTGAAGACTAGTTGTGTATATAGTATTGATATGGTTGCAGGTGGTGCTGGATGGCGAAGAGGTGCAGATTGATATTCTGGACACGGCGGGTCAGGAGGACTACGCCGCCATCCGCGACAACTACTTCAGGTCCGGAGAAGGCTTCCTTTGCGTCTTCTCCATCACCGAGCCAGAGTCGTTCGACGCCACGCAGGAGTTCAGGTGAGAAAACGTCTAAGGAATGTGGCTCAAGCGAAACATGAGTCGCGTTCTCTAAAATAATCACTTCGAAGCAGCACTTTTCCGCGTCGTGAGCGATATTACTTATTAAGTACAGTTGTTAGATTTAAAAAAAAATAAATTTATTGAATGACAAGATGTTTCACCATGATATTCCATTTTTTTTTTGTGTAATTACTCCAGTTTATTATATATACACTTCCGGACACATTATTCGAGCCACCACGCATTTTCAGTATTAAGAGAGAGAGAGAGAGAGGAGAATGTTTGATTGATCACAAACTATTATGCAATTTGAAACTAGTATACTAAACGTCTTTTCCATGAGTCCTTGTTGGGAATTTGGATTTGCAAAACCGGGGGACAACTTTTTCTTCGATGATAACACTATTTTTGTATTCTTACTCTTTACGCCAAAAATGCGAGGTGGTTCGAATTATGTGTGGGAGTATATTAATACCAATATCAACAAACACTTAGAAAAAAGTCTGCGATTTTAAATAGCGAATTCAGCTTAATCATACGTAGTATTTCCTTTATCAAGCTATTTATTCCCTTCACCTGAAGTTTTGAATTACTATAATATTACATTGTAGTTTATCTTTTAGACATTCGAATTGCCATCACCGCTTTACAGAGAACAAATTCTCCGCGTGAAGAATGATGAAAACATCCCCTTCCTGCTGGTGGGGAACAAGTCCGACCTGGCGGACAAGCGGCGCGTGCCGCTCGAGGCGTGTCGCGAGCGCGCCACGCACTGGCAGGTGCCCTACGTCGAGACTTCCGCGAAGACGCGCGACAACGTCGACAAGGTGGGTTGACCACTTAACACGGACACTTAGATGTTTAGCGCTTTCAACTTAAGTAATGCTGGCTAGGTATTCACCACTGACGTTCAGTAAATAAGTTGGCATTTACTTGATACGACTAACGTAACACGAACTGTTGTTTATAATTTTTTTGTTTGGTTGCTAAGTGATCAAAAGCTTACGAATTGTTTGTTTGTGACCTCCGGTGTCGGGGCTGTCCAATGACCAGATTACCTAACATACGTATATGTTGAGTGCGGTGCGGGCGGGGCGAGCTTGTATGTTGTGTCGTTAAAATCCATGTGGTGTGGGCGCAGGTGTTCTTCGACCTGATGCGCGAGATCCGGTCGCGCAAGTCGGACGACAGCCGCGCCTCCAACGGCGACGTCAAGCGCAAGAAGCGCAGGAGAATCAGGTGTAACATATTGTAGGCGCGCAAAGGCACACGCACGACGGAGACGACGCCGGCCTTCGTACTCATCGCATGACTTGACAATGGCAGTTTTGTGAATGGAAGTGGTCTAAATGTAGCGATGTTTCTTTTTCAAATCAAAAATTCAGTTTGCAAAATGTTCGTTTTGAGTGTAACGAACTTGGCACTAATCTGAAAAGATTTTTTTACTATGATTTTTAAAGTGAAAAGGCTTCTACGACGAAAATTGTCATTTCAACTGTGGAGATAGTACGAGCGGTGTCGCAGTGTTAGTGACAAGAGTGCAGTGTTGCCTCCTACCATCTTCCTGTCGGCGCCTCGACGTGACGTCACTTTCCATACAAACAGTGCACGCGGTCGCTGGACAACCATAACTCAAAGTCCCGCCAATATTAAATGTAATCTACTAAAAACTAACGTACCTCACACACCGAGCACCCGTACATCGCGTGTTATGTAATTTTTGTATGAGAACCGCGCCGGGCTGCGCTTGGTGTGTTAAGTTCGTTAAAGTGACCAGCGTACGGACGAGTAACTGTCAATAATGTCAAGATGGTTTTGACGCTTGACAGCTACAACCATAGAACGCCCTCTAGCGAGTTAAGCTTGTAGATATTGGCCTCCAGACACTTCATATAAATATGTGTACGTACTTTTTACTATGAAGTATCTCGGACCTTCTTGGGATTTCAAGTTGTAAAAGATTAGACGTAAGCAACAAGGCGATTTGTAAAAATGTAATTCGATTCGGCCATTTTGGTGCTGGCGAACTTTTAGAGTGCTGCTCGCAACCACCAAGATCTATCGGTTAAGTTTCGAGGGTATTTTACATCCACTAGTTTGAAGTATTATTTTGTCATCTCATTTAATAGGTACCTCCTGAACATAATAATGTAATGTAAGCAAACGATTGCGAACAGTACTCGATAAGTAGTTGTTTATATTAAGCTTTGTGCTTGCATGTTATTTTCTAAATGTCAACGGGAATTCATAAATACAAATATAGTGTCTGTTCGTTTCATTAACTTTAATATGAAATAGGAAAAAAGGAGTTTCAATTTTGACTCAGTTTTATTTTATTATTAAAACTAACAAGGTTAATAATTCAATGAATAGTCAAAAGTCCACAGACAATAAAAATGGTGAACTAAAAAGTGAATACTACTTTTTAAAATTCATTCGTTCCGGGGCGCGAGCGCGAAGCTGTGTGTAATATAAGGTTTTGTATTTATTCTACTGTAAGTGCTAAGCTATGTGTTGTCGTGAATTTGTGGGGGCACAGACATCACGGAGCCGCCTTGGGAGTGAAAGGAGAATCACCCTAATACTTTACAATTGTAAATGTAACAGCTCACATTTAAGCAATATTTAATTCATATACGTAACTTTATATTTGAATTAAGAGCCGATACTGCCTTACCTCGAATTAAAATTTCTTTTGCTTGTGTCGAGCTTATTTCAGAATTTATTTTTTGCAAACGAAATTAAAGATATTCGAACAAGTGTATGTGCTATTTGGTACGTGTTCTATTTAGTTCAGTTCAGATTTAAAAAATCGTGGGTACATTATTATGTAAAGTACCTATTGAATACACACTGTTACGCAGAATCAACCTATTACAAAAAAAGACCTAATATTATATTCAATAAATACTTACTGCTGTCAAATGTTAATTAACAAATGTCAATCGTAGCGAGATCTCTTACAGATTAGAAGTTTATACCGCGCGTAGACAATTTTCAAGGCGTCTCTGTTAACTAGACATGATGGCTGTGCTCCCCGCGTGAGTGTTCGCACATTATGTCGTAAGGTGGTAATACGATTTGTATAATCCTTAGGATAACAATATGCTTCAAAAGACTAAACAATAGCGTTTATCTTCTATATAAATTTCTATTGCGGCTGTTTCTAAAAGTTAACTTTTCTAAGTACACTTGGGGCGTGGCTGTTAAATGATTAAGTTCAAACAATACCATTGACTTGCATGCAGAATAAAACTTAAAACGGACAATTTATTTAAAGAAAAGTCGGAGTTCTTCGATTGTGTCTGCTGAGGTGTATCGTGTGAGATCACCACAGATTTGGTAAAACCATAAATAAATGACCCACAACGGGCCAACAAAAAATGAACTTGCCCGTTTTATGTACTTACTTGATGCAGGCGCGAGGCCTTGTCAATGTCCCGTCAGACCCACCGACTTATTGCATGCATTAAAAATTAAATATGCAATTAAAGACATTTAATAAAGATTAAAATATTTGAAGACTTTTTATGAAACTATTTAAACACTAGGAAAGGTATTAATGTTATCATTACCAGTTGACTTATTAGTAAAGTCGTGTGGTCGGAAGCTGTCTTAAAAGCGACTCGATTAATTGTGCCTTTCAATCAGTCCATGAGCCTGGCGTGTGTTTGCCATGGACCCCGTGGCCCCGTGGCCATGCACAATTTTTGTCCTTCCTTAATTTGCTTTTGGTAACAGTTTGTGCGTGTCTTCGTCGTTTAGACATACTTTGTTTTTAAAGCTTATGTCTTAATTAACAGAAGGTACCTGTGTATCATGGTCGGTGAGCCTTGTTTGTTTCTGAGTAACGATTATATACACGTACAGCACTATTATCTGAAGTCAAAACTTGAGATTGCCCGAAACAAAATATTATGTATTGTGAAAGTAAAAAATGTAATTTTTCGTTGTTCGACGTTGTCGTGTGTGGTCGTACCGTTTGTGTTACTGGCTATTTGTTTTATCTTGAAAATATGAAGTTTTACTTCGTTTAAACTGCGTTTGTTCGACTCCTCCTTTACTATCCTGGGGCAGAGTCCATATGAGCCGGCCGCCATATTGAGAATTGTGTTGCTGTTTCGTTTTCGCTTGTGTATTGATTGAGCTGTGACGTCGATTGTGATCTTTTGGTGTGCTACAGAAGAAAGATAATTAAACAATTGTATAACGCTTGCTTTGATAATTGCTTGCCCGAGGTGAGTTTCGAACCCGGGATGTCTGCGTGGCCGCGTTGTTGTCGACCGCTAGGGCAATGCAGGCGCACGGCGTGTATATGAGCGTTAATTTAACGACACATTAGTAACGGTATACTTAATTATCATCAGCATATATTGGTACCTTACATAAATTTATTTGTTTTTTTTTATGCGCTCTGGAAGCATGACAACGAGAAGGTCCTCTCCCAATCGATACTCTTCAAACCCAGACTTAAGTGCTATGAATGCGGCAATATGTAGCGTTTCTATAAGAAAAAGGAAACAGCCGGACAATTAAATTCTATACGAAATTAAAAGCATGCAGGAGAACTTTACACAGGTTCTGCAAGACTTTCGGCGGGATCTGGATATTAAGTTTGAAAATATATCAGACAGTATTCAAATAATAACAAATGACCTAGAAACCTACCAGTCACTAATAAAAAAAGATATCCATGATCTTCGCTGTGAAAATAGTGCCATGAAGGAACAGGTCAATAATCTCACTAACGAAATATCAAGTTTGCATCAATCGACGTGGTTTATCTCAAATCAACAAGATGAACTTTGAAAGTGCGTTAGTAATATCTCAGTATATACTAAGTCTACGGAAGAATATGAACAAACAATTAAAATTCTCACGTCAAAGATAGACGGTATGGAGCAGCAGGCCAGACCGTGCAATATCGACATTTCTAATTTACCAGAAAAGCGCGATGAAAATTTGTTGGTAATTGTTGACAATTTGCACTAAGAGGATGTGCCATCAATCGTCGAGATGTTGTGGCCATCATTTGGGACTGTCGGGTGCCCCACATATCATTTATCTCTCCCTCCAAATATATTAAAACTGCCTCCGTGGCCGAACGGTTACCATGCCGGACTGCCACGCAGAGGGCAGAAGAAAAAAGGCCGGGAGAAATATTTGTATAGCCTACATTTATTTATCTCGTGAGTTTGGGTGTCATTTGTGGTTGTCTATGTGTGTGTCTATGGCACCCGCGACACAGGGTTTCCCTAGTGCGGGGCTATGTTGAGTGTGTGCGTTATTATATCAACCAGTACCTAACTCTGCGAAATAAACTTTTTCAATCAGGCCAATTTTAAAAACATTTGAGTTAAGCATTCCATTCTGGTGCGCGCATCTGACAACTCCCCGTCATCCCTATGCGTACAGAACAAGATATTAAGAAGAATAATAATAAGGGGCCAACTAATAGTACCAATTAACATAGTACAGGCGTGGCTTAATGCCAGTGGTTCATTTTCTTTTTGTATTGTTATAAAAAAATGACATTATAACAGTTAATATTGTGCACAGGGTTCAATACGCACTTTCTAATGTATTTTTTATGTTTTTCTTATAAATCATGCTGAAGAAGCATTCCAATATTTTTACTCGTTCATTGATTTTATTTGTTTCTTCTGGGCACGGTGTTCTACAATTCAATCACATAATACTCCCCTATTTACATTCTTTATAGTATCGACTACAAAATGACATATAATTTGAGTGTATACTTATCGAGTTCTTAGGTTTTCGCGATTGTTACACATAGGAAATGAAACTATTTTTCCGGATTTAAATCGCGTATATTTGTTTCTTCAAACAAACGGACGTTTCGAGCCATTTACAGATCCCATGGTCACGGTTGACTGAGTGTATACTATCGAAACTACAGAGGGATACGAACTAAACTACAAAGACGATTATATTATAATTATAACAGAAGCCCGGCTGATTCCTAAAATTACTCCAGAGGTACACATTGCCTTTCGCTGCGTCAGAGACCGTAACACTACATCTAAGAAAGATGGTGGAATATGCACGCTCAATTTGGGACCCTCACTATAAAAAATACTCGAACAAATTTAAAAAAAGCAAGGTCGGTAAATTACAAAATATTTAGAAGAGGTACACCATACGAGAAATTACTGTCTAAGCTTAGAATGCTAACACTTCATAATAGACGAATACTTCTTCAGGCTGTAACATTCCATAGATTTTGTCACAATTTGATTGATTGTCCAGATGTTGCGCAAAATATTAAATACAATGTATCCATGAGAGTTCATCGACGACATCCGCGCTCCTACGGCGCGTTGCCGAACAAATGCTGGCAGGCGAGCTCCTCTACGTCGTATTCTTTCTCAGTATAATGATTTGTTTAGAGTTATTGACATGTTTTATTTACCTGCTTCTAAACTTAAAAAGCTATTATTGAAGCCTGCTGCAGCTGAGCTAATTTCTTTTTTGTTTACTTTTTGCTTGTTTTAGTTTTGCCTTATCCATCGCACACGACAATTTTCATTTAAATTTTAACAGTAGTATGTGGATAACGTTGTTGATTGTACATGTACTTATGTCACTTAACCTCACAACAAACATAATCATACCATGTACAATTGTTTGTTATTCCTTAAAAAGAAATAAATTTCATTTATTTCTTATTGTTCGGTTCCGGTCTTTCTGTAAAACAATTTAGGTTATGAATTAATCGTGTTGTCATGATTTTTTAACAATAACAATTTAACAAACGAGGCTTGTTCGGAATCCTTTTATTCAGTGTTGGACATTGCATAATAGTACTGCATGTATG